GTTGCGGCTAGATTTGGGGTAGACTATGATGTTAGGTGTTTTTGTTGCCCTATTGATCAAAGAGATACTATGCGCCACACTTTCATTGGGGAGAAAATTGCAGAACATATGTGGAATTTTTTTTGGAAATCCCGTTTGAATTTCTTGGGAGGATATACCTATCAAGTATATGCTCCAAAAATGGTGAGATATCAAGCCAAAAAACTTACTTCATCAAACTATTTTATAAATTACTCATGTCGTAGTTGTTGGAAGATATGGAAAGCGACACATCTATACGGAGGAAACAAATGTTATACAAAGAGGATTCAATATCAAATTCTATTTCATCTAAAATGTAGTGTTCAGGGCAAAGACTAAGACAAAATGGAGCTCCAGGTGGAGAGTTATTTATCAATAGATTACCGGCCTATTCCCAAAATTGCATGTATTGTGATTAAGTGGCTTAAACCCCCTGAAAATTTGGTGAAGATTAATATTGATGGAAGTAGGGATGCAAATGGCAGAGTTGGAACTGGAGGGATTTATAGAGATCATAGAGGTAAATTATCATGGCCTTTTCTCAAAGTATTGGTAGGGATACTAGCAATATGGCCGAAGCCAAGGGTGCTCTAAATGCCCTAGAATAGTGTCCTCAAAATGGGTAGAGCAACGTAATCTTGGAATGTGATTAAAAAATAGTAGTTGAGATGATCAAAGGTAATTACAATATCCCTTGAAATATGAAGAATATCATTACTCGTATTCAAAATATTTCAAGTACTATTACTTGTAAGGTTCAACATTGTTACAGGGAAGGCAACCAAGTTGCATCTGCCTTGGCAAAATGGAGTAGTACAAATGAGGAGTTGTTATTTTTGCACATGTTCACCTACCATCGATAGCCATCTGACCTTACAAACTTGATCTCATATAAATGGAGTCCCTAAGGCATAAGCAAAGGAAGAATTATTTTGTATAGAATTGATTCAGTTGAGATGTTATAGCTAATTTTATCTATACGCTGGACTTGTAAATTTGTTCAAAACTTGTATAGTTTTTGTCAGAATCTTAGTTTTTGCGAAGCATCTATTGGAACAATGGGTCGAGCTTAAGCTCCCCTTAGCTTTGTAATTTAATTCATCAATATAAAGGTCTCACCACCATACGGTCATAATTTTTTTTTAAAAAAAAGACGGTCACACTTTAACGCAAAAATAAAATTTAGATAAAATCCTCATGCTTAAAATATGGAAGAACTTATAAAGGTTTGAACTTCATTAACCGTTTCTTGATTTTGAACTTATAAATGTTTGAACTCCTGATTCGTTCCTTGGTTTTGAACTTCTAAAGATTTGAACTCCATAAATCGTTAATGTGTTTTGAATCTCTAACAAACTTTTGAACCTCATAATTTGTTCCTTGAGTTTCACTTTTTTAATCCTTCAAGTTCCAATTAATAGTGTTTGCTGAAGTTGTTTCGTGTTTTAGTTTGGGGTAGTTTTTTCCAATTATTTGTAAATAGAGAAAGGTATAAAATGGAGCTTTGATTATATTGTAACTTGTAACCATTTCGATTGCAATTCCTTGTAGCACTTTCTACGAATGAAAGATACCTAAATATTAAAGAAATATTCTATTTTAATTAACTTCTAAAGGTACATAAACAAATAAAGGTAGAATTACTCCCAACATATTTTGTTCCCACATCGTTTGTGAACAATGACTTTTGTTAATACACATAATGATGACATAAGACATCTAAACGCCGAGTCTTGTAACGTGGGCTTGTAACCTAAGTTGGGGCAACAATGTGGTGGAATGTTAATTAGGTTGTTCCAGATGGCTGGGCTTTGGTTGGTATTAGTCTGGCCTGCCCTATCCAAGCACGGAGTTGAGTCACATGGTCCAGACGAAAGTATGGACTGCTTGGCTCTTAGAGTGGGGCGGACTGCGTGAGGCTGGTTTCACAGAGCAACGAATAGTTCCCTCTGTGTAGTGGAAGGATAACGGGTGGGTCGGTGCCTTTCCAAGTCCAACAAAACCTGATGGGCTGCTTAACAAAACCATCTCTTTTTGTGTGTCTATAAGGGGTTTGGCCCAAGTCTACACTACTCAGCCCCACTTTGCATTTTCTAATTTGTAGTTTATGAAATTAATTTACTTACCTTTCTTGGTTTTCTAATTTGGAAAGAATCTTTCACTTGTATAATTCTTATCTCCTAGTCTTTTTTCTAATCCAGACATTTAAGGGCCATTTGGTTTGGATTGTAGGTGATATAATCTCTACATAAAATTCAGCATAAATTCCTAAAGTTTATATCAAATTGGATTAGAATTCAAAGAGATTCAATTTTAATAGAAATCAACATTAAATAATATAACATTTGATTGCTCCATTTTAGTTTCTCTAAGAATTATTATTAATTATTTCTTACTTATGACCCAAGTTTACTTGTAACCCAAGTAATACCATAAATAATATTTAATAAGGAATAGATCTCGTCCGTACATTGGTTAGTTGATGGACGTACCAGATTAAGTCATAACCTCTATAAATTGATCCTCCCTCCACCCATTAGGGTTACCACATATTCTCTACAATAATTTCATCGCTGACGGTTGTGGTAACATAAAGTAAGGGCAAGGAGGTAGAAACCAATTTACGATTAACGCTTCCGCTTCTCTATGTGATAATGTCTTCCGCATCAGGTACGTGCCTCTAACATTCTCTATGTAAGATTATCATGTTCAAGATCCTGATATTATGTATTAAAGTATTTAATCTTACATGTGGCATAAGAGCTTGAATTGTTTGAACGGATAATCTTCGTATATCTTGCATCTTTATGAATAATACTTACATGATATGTGTATGTGAAATTATATTTATGGTTCATAGTTTGGGATTAAAAATAAAAAATAAAAATCGTGCGATATGTGAAGATGGCTATGAACAATTTTGTTTTATTGCACAAGTTATTGACTTTATTATTAAAATAATATTGTTATTCTTTTAGTTTAAGTGGTAATGAATCAACTGTGCAACAAATTAAAGTGGTCATTATATTAAGTAATAATTTTATATGTGTACTTAGTGCAATATAGTTTGTTAGTCACTAAAGTGGCCTACAGAAATTAATGTTTACATATATAATATTTATGATCACTTGACATATGTGGATTAGTACAATTCATTATTTATTGGCATATTCAGTATTCCAAGAGAGACTGTGTCTGATTTTTCAACTTGATGCATGTATTATGTTCTTATAGTTTGTTAGTCACCAAAGTGGCCAAACTAAAATTTATAAAATTATTCATATGGCCAAAATTTTATTATATTATGTATGCATTTGTACTTATATAGTTTGTTAGTCACCAAAGTGGCCAAACTAGAGAAATTAACGTTACACATATAATATTGTGGTCACTTGACATATGTGGATTAGTACAATTCATTATTTATTGACATATTCAGTATTCCAAGAGAGACTGTGTCTGATTTTTTCAACTTGATGCATGTATTATGTTCTTATAGTTTGTTAGTCACCAAAGTGGTCAAACTAAAATGTATAAAATTATACATATGTCCGAAGTTTTATGATATTATGTATGCATTTGTACTTATATAGTTTGTTAGTCACCAAAGTAGCCAAACTAGATAAATTAACATCTACACATATCATGTTTATGATCATTTGATGCATGTATTATGTTTCTATAGTTTGTTAGTCACCAGAGTGGCCAAACTAAAATGGGAAATTAATGTTTACATATATAATATTTATGATCACTTGGCATATGTGGATTAGTACAATTCATTATTTATTGGCATATTCAGTATTCTAAGAGAGACTAGGTCTGGTTTTTCAACCTGATGCATGTATTATGTTTGTATAGTTTGTTAGTCACCAAAGTGGCCAAACTAAAATGTATAAAATTTTCACGTGCACAAAATTTTATGATATTATGTGTGCATTTGTATTTATATAGCTTGTTAGTCACCAAAGTGGCCAAACTAGTATGGTTAAGAAAAATGTGTATTCATAAAATTGTCATTTATCTATGAAAGTTAATGAAATGTCTATATTGAAAATAGATAGATAAATTGACTTTCACTATTGCTAGAACTTAAGAATTTACCCAAAGATGAATCAATCATTCTACGAATAGTGAAAATTATGAGGTAAATTAATCTTTTTAGTCAAACATATATTATATATCCAAAGATGTCATATATGTTTGATTAAAAAATATTCAATTACCTATTAAAGATAAAATTGGCATTTAAATTATGATAATGTGTCGTAGTATCTACCCAAAGGAGAATTACGATATATTTTTATCGCTTTACTGAATTCACATTATTTTTTGATTTGTGAGCATGTATATCTATTTTGCAGTTATTCCTCTTCATTCGCATGCTTCGTCTGTTACTGTGTTCAATGGATTCAACTTCTCCGAATGACATGAACAAGTACAGTTTCACTTAGGTGTAATGGATCTTGACTTGGCTCTACTGAATGACAAACCTACTGCCATTACTGATAAGAGCAGTGAGGATGAGAAGTCTTTTCATAAATCATGGGAACGCTCTAACAGATTAAGCCTTATGTTCATGCGAATGACTCTTGCTAACAACATTAAGAGTACTATTCCACAAACAGAAAGTGTCAGGGAATACCTGAAGTTTATGGAAAATGTTTTCGTTTTGCTGATAAGTCTCTCGCTGGTACACTAACGACTGAACTCACGACCATGAAGTTTGATGGGTCGCACAGTATGCAAAATCATATCATCGAGATGACTAACATTGCAACAAGACTTTCGACCTTGGGAATGAAAGTGGATGACACCTTCTTGGTTCAGTTTATTCTGAACTCATTGCCTCTTGAGTATGGACTATTCCAAATAACTATAACATTATTAAGGATAAGTGGGATGTTAGTGAATTGTCCAGTATGCTTACTAAAGAGGATTCAAGATTTAAGAAATAAGGAGGTCATTTCATTAACCTCATGGGTCAAGAAGCTGGTAAAAGACTTAAAGTGAAGGCCAACAAGTTTAAGAAAAAGAAAGCACCTGCTAAAGTTCCACAGGATGCTCATAAGGAACTCAAGGCTGACGTGTGTCGTTTCTGTAAAAAGGAAGGACACTATCAGAAAGATTGCCTGAAACGTAAAGCTTGGTTTGAAAAGAAAGGTACATTTAGTGCTTTTGTATGTTTCAAATCAAATTTAGTAGAAGTTCCTAATAATACTTGGTGGCTTGATTCTGGTGCAACTACTCATGTATCCAATATGTTGCAGGGATTCACTACGAATCCAAATAAAAATTTCTTGTTCATGGGAAATCGCATGAAGGCTAAAATTGAAGGCATAGGGACTTATCGTTTGATCTTGGAGACTAGACATCACCTTGATATATTACAAACTCTTTATGTTCCTTCAATTTCTAGGAATTTGATTTCTCTTTCAAGACTTGATGTTTCTGGATATGATTTTAAGTTTGGACATGGTTGTTTCAATTCTTATAAGAATACTATTTTTTAGGGTTCTGGTGTTCTTATTGATGGTTTTTATAGATTGAAACTCGATAATAATTAGACGTAGTTCACTAAATGAAAGTTCTGCTTATTTGTGGCATAAACGTTTGGGTCATGTATCCAAAGAAAAATAGAAAAGGTTAGTAAAGAATGAGATTCTTTCGAACCTGAATTTTATTGATCTTGATATATGTTTGGATTGCATTAAAGGAAGGCAAACCAAGCATACTAAGAAAGGTGCCACAACGAGCACTCAATTTCTTGAAATTATATACACTGATATTTGCGGACCCTTTGATGTTCCATCCTTATGTGGAGAAAAATATTTTATCACTTTTATCAATGATTTTTCACGTTATTGATTTATCTATTTGTTGAAAGAAAATCTCAAGCAGCGGACGCTCTCAAAGTGTACGTTAATGAGGTTGAAAGACAATTAGATAGGAAAGTGAAAATCATTAGGTCAGATAGAGATGGTGAATATTATGGAAAGTATAACGAATCAGAACAATGTCCAGGTCCATTTTCAAAATTCCTTGAGAATGGTGAAGTTAATGGGAGTGTTAAATGACAAAGTGTGGAAATTAATGAGGTAAGGGTAAATATTTCATTACCCATGAATGTACCTACTTCCGCACCAATCATAAATATTGTTCCTCTGGTTGAAGAACACTTTAACAATGTTGAACAACATTTGGGTGAAACACTTCAAGTAGGAACTAACTCACAAGTATCTGACCCAAATGAACCACAAACAGTGCCATTAAGAAAATCGGCCATTTCAGATGATTTTGTGATTTATTTACAAGAGTCAGATTTTGACATTGGAATTAATAAAGATTCGGTTTCATTTTCACAGGCCATAGAAAGCACTGAGTCTAATAAATGAATTGATGCTATAATGAAGAGTTAAAATCCATGGAATACAACAAAGTCTGGGATCTTGTTCAATTACCAGAAAATTCTAAAAGAATCGGGTATAGATCGGTCTTCAAGACCAAACGCGATTCTAATGGTAATATTGAATGATATAAAGCCAGACTTGTTGCCAAGGGATACACTCAAAAATGAGGCATTGATTATAAAGAAACCTTTTCACCGGTCTAAAAAAAAAGATTCATTAAGAATTGTTTTGGCCTTGGTAGCTCATTATGATTTAGAGTTGCATCAAATAGATATGAAACCTATCTTTCTTAATAGAGACCTCGAGAATGATGTTTATATGGACCAACCAGAGGGTTTCAAAATTAAAGGAAAATATCAAATGGTGTGTAAGCTAAAGAAGTCAATATATGGACTCAAACAAGCCTCATGATAATGTTATATAAAGTTTAATGATACCATATCATCTTTCGGATTTAAGGAGATTATCGTTGATCGGTGTATATACCAAAAGATCAGTGGGAGTAAGTTTATATTTTTAGTCATGTATGTTGATGACATTTTACTTGCTACTAATGATTTAGGCATAATTGCATGAGATGAATGACTTTCTCTCTATGAACTTTGAAATGAAAGATATGGGTGAGACATCCTATGTGATAGGGATATAAATATTTCGTGATAGATCACAAGGATTATTGGGACTGTCTCTAAAAGGTTATATCGAAAGAGTTCTAGAGAGATTTAACATGAACAATTAAGAATAGTTCCTATTCAAAAAAAGGGACAAATTTAATCTCATGCAATGCCCAAAGAATGATGTAGAACGAAAAGAAATGAAATCAATTCCTTCATCTTCTATTGTTGGAAGTTTGATGTATGTTCAAACTTGCACAAGATCGGATATTAGTTTTGCGGTCGGAATGCTAGGAAGATAACAAAGTAATCCTGGAATTGATCACTAAAAAGAAAACTGCAATGAAAGTTTGTGGCATGTTATGAAGCCACAATTCATGCATTATGGCTGCGGAACTTCATTTCAGGACTTGGGGTTGTCGACACCATTACCAAGCCGCTGAAAATTTATTGTGATAATGCTGCATCAGTATTCTTCCCCAAGAACGATAAGTACTCCAAATGTGCCAAACATATG